CCCCTGTGCTGAACCCTGTTTGCTGTGGCTGCCTTTAGCACTTACATTCAAGGTGGAGGAGGGGTGGGGGGTAGTTCTGTAGGGCAGCACCAAAGCTGTCACCTGACTCATCCCTATGCTCTAATTGTTGTTTCTCTTTTCAGGACCCCTAGAAACGTTCCAGCTCTTTAGGAGAGGAAAAAATCACATATCTCCTTGAATCAGGGACAGGCATCAGGCATCCTTGAAGACAAGGACCTGTCGCATCACTAACAATTGGACTGGCTGACCCTGGGCTGTCCTGTCCAGCCACCTCTTTTATATAAGCAGGATGGAGTGCATTTGTCTAACAAGTGATTTACATTTCCACTAGGTATATTATTGGCAGAGTTGAGTTATGTTTGTTCCTCTACAATTCAATGATTTCCTCTGTACTACTTGGGTCTACTATTTGGCTCCATCAGGTCTAAATATCTGCAAGATGAGGCTCTTTCTTTTCAGCTGTGCATTTCCCTTTTCTACCCGATTATTCACAAATTTGGAAATTCAGTTTGTAGACACCTCAGCCTTAGCCTGATTCCCTCAGGTTTCCTCTGGCTTTATAGCCAACACCATTATCAATTTGATAGGTAAAAGTGATTTCTTACCTACAGGAAGTCTTGTACAGACTCTGGTAAGCCTCTCTTTTCATCCTCCAAACTACAAATCCCAGTCACTACTCCTACAGTTTGAGCCATTTACACATCATATTGTCCTTCTAATATTCTGTAAACATATTTTCAGTCCAATTGTTCCAATTAATCAAAGGATTTATGAGCACAGGTCCTGTTTGGGTGCTTGCATAAAGCTCTAGAAAGTTGGTTACAGATTTATCACTGTAGGCACATTAGCAATGTATCAGTACCCTTCACATAAGAGTTGCATATCTGTAATCTCAGTATTACTCACAACATGACAAGATCGAGTGAAGGCTATGAAAATGTTAAGGGATGTTAAGAGCACAGCTGCCTCCTCCAGCAGCCATGGCCAGAACTCTCATGCCCAGCTGCTGGATCCCAGCCCAAGGAATTCAGAGTCTCTGCCCAGGCTGAGGGATTCAGCTGTTACTTTCCCAGTTGCAGGCTCAGCCAGCAGTGAAGCTGAGCATGTATCTGAGACACACACACACACACACACACACACACACACACACACACACACACACACAGAGGACATATACAGGACATTGATACAGCCAGTCACACAGACTGCCACAGAAAAGGTGTTGTTAACATCACACACAAACTAGGATTCAAATAAAACATAAACACAGAGAGCTGAAAGGCATATAAATTCACTAGTGAAAGCATATGTGCACACACACATTTGCAGATCCCCTGAGTACACACATGGATGCTTCTATCTTCTCACTACCCCTGCCTGCATCTTGGACTCTCTTTTCTGTAACATTACAGGGGAAGGAGGAGCATTAATGGGTGTAGAGGAGGACTTCAGGAGAAAGGTTTGAACAAATTCCCCATTCTGACAGGAACCACAAGATTGGTTCCCTTTTGGAGGGGGAAGTTTCCATTGCCAGACATAACTATTTTAAATATACCGATGTCGCTATAGGACACATGAAAGCACAACGCAAGCCACTGCTATTTGCAAGGCAAAGAAGAAAGTTTATTTTCTGACTCCAACTTTTATACTTTTCCAAAGGTGACAGTGGATTGGAGAGTGAATAGGTCACCTCTCCAAAGACATTGGACAAACTACTAGTACATCAAGTTTCTCCACCCCTATGAAGGAATGCAAAACAATATGTTGTTTATAGAAAATTTTGTGAGAAAGTTTTCTAACAGAATGTAAACTCAGAAGGCTTTAGAAAATCTTAAGAATCAGGGCGACATCCCAATAACGCGTTTGCCCTGGGAACTGTTCCTGCAGTTTGAGCCGCAAAAAAATACAGCCTATCATAATCAAAACTGCCCACCTCAGGCCACTGTTGGCTTGTAATTCCACCAAATGGCAGTCAATGTGGGCCAGGTATCCGGATGCAGTTCCAGTGCTCTTTTCTTAGATAACCCATGGGTTCCATCTATTTTCAACCAACTGGTTAGCAATTCACATAAAGGTGAACCTTTCACTATACTGTGTCTGGTCCTCATTATTATTAACTCTCACCTCCTTGCTGCAAAAAAAATGATCTGTCCAAATGGTACCCCCTGTTCTCAAGTTCCACAGGTGAACTCACCTTTTGCCATCAGTGGGTCATTGACTTGCAGGGGATCGTAGTGGCTGGTGTAGTCAAGTGAGTTGCCCAAGTCCCTTCTGGGGTGCCAAAACTGTCACAGGATTCTTTATTGTTTAAAAAAAGGAGATGCAGACACCCTTAAGTACAGAATTGCAAAAGAAAATACTTTTCTGAAATGTGCATGCAGTGGCCCAGCCTGGTTCTGAGGGGCCCTAATCATAAGTAACACACAGGTTATATAGAATATAAAGGTGGACTACCACCCAATTACAGTCCTAAGCTTATCTACAGTGGGCCAATCCTTCATGTGGCTGTGTGATGAGAGACAATGGTCTGAGCTGCTTTTCATCCTTTGTTACATGCTCAGAACCAGTTTCCACAGGTTTATTGTCAAGCAAAGGTTGTAGTAACTAGCTGAGCTTTTGCACTTCCCTCCTTAAGTTCTTGGAAAGCTCACTGAAACTATTAAGTGACCTAAGTTTGTATTTTTTTTACAGTGCACCCATTGCTCAGTAAGGCAGGGGACCCAGTGATAAAGTACATTGTGAAATCCAATTTACTCAATGCTCTTTTTCTTCAGTTTTTACTGGTAAGGCCTGTTCTCTCCAAGCCAATTGAATGTATATGGGTCTATGGGACCAGATGGGATGCATCCAAGCATGCTGAAGGAGCTGGCGCCAATATCATTTGGAGGCCACTGTCTTTCATCTTTGAAAGGCTATGGCAATTGGGAGAGGTTCCTGATGGCTGGGACAGGCCAAGCATCACTTCCATTTTCAGGAATGACAAGAAAAAGGATCCAGAGAACTACAGGCTGGTCAGCCTTACCCTCTTTTCCCAGGAAGATTATGGAGCAAATCCTCTTCTAAAGAGATGAAAGATAAGAAGGTGATTTGGAGCAGCCAATGTGGTTTCAGCAAGGGCAAATCATGCCTGACCAATTTCATTGCTTTCTGTAATGAAGTGACTGGTACTGTGGAAACGCAGAAGGCAGTGGATATTTTATACCTTGATTTTAGCAAGGCCTTTGATGCAGTCACATATAGTCTTATCTCTAAATTGTTGGGATATGGGCATGATAAGGTAGATGGAAAATTAGCTGGACTATTGAGCTTCAAGAGTTGTGACTGGTGGTACAAAGCCCAGCTGGGGGCCAGTAACTAGTGGGGTCCCTCAGGGATCATTACTGGAACCAGTACTGGTATTTAATGCCTTCATTAATGATCTGGACAATGGGATGGAGTGCATTCTCAGCAAGCTTGTAGATGACACCAAATTGGGGGAGTATTCAGTATGCTGGAGATCAGGGCTGCCATTCAGAGGCACCTGGAGAAATGGGATGACTTGGAACCTTATGAAGCTAAACACAATCAGATCCAAAGTCCTGTATCTGGAATGAAATAACCCTATGCAACAATACAAGACAGAGACCAACTGTCTGGGAAGCAGCTCCCCAAAAAAGGATCTGGGGGTCCTGGTGGACAAGTTGATGATGTCAGCAGTGTGCCCTCACAGCAAAGATGACTAACTGCATCTTGAGCTGTATTAGCAAAAGTGTAGCCAGCAGGTCCAGGGAAGTGATCCTTTCCCCTTATTCAGCACTTGTGAGACTGCATCTGCAGTACTGTGTCCAGTTTTGGGCTCCCCAGTACAAGAAGGATAGTGACATACTGGAACAAGCCTAGCAGAGGTCCACCAAGCTGATCGGAGGCTGGAGAACGTGACATCCAAGGAGAGGCAGAGAGAGGTAGGCCTGTTCAGCCTGGAGAAGAGAGAAAGAGATAAGGATTGGGAGATTTACCTGCCAATTACAGGCAAAACAGATTCAACTTGGGGAAAATAACTGAATTTACCGTCAATTAATTGTAACAGAGCAGGATAATGAGAAATAAGAACAAATCTAAAACCACCTTCCCCCTACTTCTCCCTTCTTCCAAGGCTCAGCTTCACTCCCAACTCTTCTACACCTCCCCCTCCCCTGCTAAACAGCACAGGGTGATGGGGAATGGGGGCTGCAGTTGGTTCATAATGTTTTGTCTCTGCATCTCCTTCCTCCTCACGCTCCTCCCCAACTCCAGCATGGGGTCCCTCCCACGGGATAAAGTCCTTCATGGACTTCTTCAATGTGGGTCTTTCCCATGGGCTGCAGTTCTTCACAAACCACTCCAGCATAAGTCCTTTCCAGGAGGTACAGTCCTTCAGGAGCAGACTGATCCTGCATGGATCCCCCACAGGGTCACAGGTCCTGACAGAAAACCTGCTTCTACATGGGCTCCTCTCCACAGACCACACTTCCTCCCAAAAGCCCAGTCCTGCATGGATTCTCCCATGGGGTCAGAGCTTCTTTTAAGGCACATTCACTTCCTCTGGTGTGGAGTCCTCCACGGGCTGCAGGTGAATCTCTGCTCTGCTGTGGACCTCCATGGGCTGCAATGGGACAATATGGTCTTTGCTACGGGCTTCAAGGGAATCTGTGCTCCAGTGCCTGGAGCACATCCTCCTCCTCCTTTTTCAATGACCTTGGTGTCTACAGGGTTGTTTCACCTTTTTTCACTCTCTCCCAGATGGTGCTGTGCAGCACATTTTACTCTGCTATGTATTCTATCACAATCACAGCACACCAAGCATGAGGAGTATTTATGACACTCACGATGGCCTTCTGGAGCGAGGCTGTTATCCAGGCAGCTCTGTGATTAGCTGAGGAAAAGGGGATGGGGTGGGGTTTAGTCTTCCCAGCTGCGCTTTTTCTTGGTCACGTGTAGTTGACGCGAGTCGTGTTTCCGTGCTGCACTTGCTACGTCATCGAAAATGTGAAGTAATGAACACAGCATCCAGTTTGGTCGGTAGCAGTGGCAACTTTTATCTCCAAATTGCGTTTTCAGGTGGCATGGAAGACGCAACAGGTGAGTCACCAGGGAGAGGGTGTACTACTGCTCGTATCTCTCCCTACTGCGGCGGGACCGCCTTGTGCAGCCTCTCTCTCTCGTCTCTTATTCCTCTATCATAAGGATTCCCGTCGGTGGTGAAGGTCGCGCCGGGCTAGACTGCTGCTGCCTCTGGAGCATGAACGTCCTAGACTGTCACGGCAGCGTGGAGGGGGGTAGGGAGCACCCGGAAAAGGCAGGGAGGTGGTGGTGTACGGTACGGTAGCCGGGCTGCATCAATTCGTCGCGACGCTCCAGGCTGGGAGTGGCGTCTTGAGACACACTACTCAGTGGGAAACGCTGGAGAGACGTTCCGCCATGCTGCGGAGTAGGTGACGACTGGACATGAGGAGGGAGAATAACAATTGCACGCGGCAGTTTTCTGCAAGCCGCCTGGAATCCTAGCTGCTGATCCCTTGGTCACTTTCACCCCCGCAGGCAGTGAGCTCTGCAGTACCTGCTGCCGATGAGCTAGTGGCAGAGCTTGAAAGCCTGATCCTGCTCAGGACACAAACACTCTCAGAATGTTTCTATAAAGCCCTGCACTGTTCCTGATGCAGGCACTGGGAAAAGGCTAAGGCTAAACAAGAGAATGAAGTGGCTGCTGCTTTCCAAACTCAGCATTGTGTTTAGGTGTCTTTACTTTTGGCTGTTCCACTTATTTTCAGAGAGCCTCTTCTCAGGCTAGAAGAAAAAAAAAAAAAAAAAGAAAAGAAAAAAGAAAAGAGAACAATTAACATTTCAGGTTGGAAGGGACTTCTGGAGGTGTCTAGTCCAACCTCCTTGCTTAAAGTAGGGTCAGCACCTAAGTCAGACCAGTTTGCTCAGGGTTTCCTCTGGTCAGGTCTTGAAAACCTCCAAGACTGGAGACTGCACAACTTCTCAAGGCCCCTGTTCCACTGCTTGACTGTCCTCATGGTGAAAACCAGTTTCCTTATAGTTAGTGTGAACCTTGCTTGTTTCAATTTGTGCCTATTGTGTCATCTTCCCACTATGCAACACTGTGAAGAGCCTGGCTCTGTCTTCTTGATAGCCTCCTATTAGGTGCCCCTGCAGCCTTCCTTCCCCCAGGCTGAACAAGCACAGTTCGCTCAGCTTCTCCTCATAGTGCAAGTACTCCATCACCCTGACATCTTAGTGGCCCTCTGCTGATCCTCTTTATCAATTACTTTGTTGTATTGGGGTGCCCAAAATTTGACACATCATTTTAGATGTGATCTAATGAGCACTGAGTAAAGGAGGATAATCACTTCCCCAAATCTACTAGCTATGGTCCCAGTAATATAGCCCAGTATACAGCTAACCACCTTTGCTGCCAGGGCATGGGTCTAGCTCATATTCAGCATGCTGTTTTCCAAGATCCTCAGGTCCTTTTCAGCAGAGCTGCTCCCCAGTCAGTCTGCAGATGGTATTGATGCCAGGGATTCTTCTTCCCTAGGTGCAGGACTTGACATTTGTCCTTATTGAATTAAGTTTGTGTCAGCTCATTTCTCCAACCTGTAGATCTCTCTGGAGGCAGTCCTGCCCTTGAGTGTATTTACTTCATCCTCCCAACTCCTGCAAACTTGTCAAGAGGCATCACCTCCTCCAGGTGTTTGATAGAGATTTTAAACAGGACAAGTCCCAGAACAGACCCCTGCAGTGCCCCACTAGTCACAGGCATCCCAGCAGACTACAACCCATTAACCACCACTCAGAGCTCAGTCATGCAACTAGTTTTAAAACCCATCTAGTTGTCTACCCATCCAGACTATAATATCCCAACTTGGATATGAGAATATTGGAGGATACAGTGTTGAAAGCCCTGCTAAAGTCGAGGTAAATGGCATCCAATGCTCTCCATCCACAAATCCTGACATTTTATCACAGAAGGCAATTAGGTTGTTCAGACATTATAGTCCCTTGGTAAATGCATGCTGACTGTTCCAAATCGCCACCTTCTTCACATGCTCATAAAACGTTCCAAGAGGACTTTCTCTATGATTTTCCAAGGACCTGAAGTTCCCTGGGTTGAAACTTTGGGTTTGTTTGTTTGTTTTAAGATGAACGCAACATTTTTCCTTCTCTAGTCATCAGGGAATTCCCCTGAACTTCATGACTTTTCAAAGCTAATAAGAGAATAGCCTCACTATGAAACCAGACAGTCCTCTCAGTATACTTGGATGCAGCCCATCTGGTCCCACGGATTTGCACAGATGAAGTTCCTTGAAATGATCCCTGATTCAATCCTCTTCCACTGTTGGTAGTTTTTCTTGAACCCTGTCTCTAAGCACAGAAGCCTGGGAGACCACCAGTGAGGATTTGAGGCCAAGAAGGCATTCAGTGCCTCAGCCTCATCTATGTCCACTGTCACTAGATCACCCATCCCATTTAGCAATAGGCCCACCTTCTCCTTGTTCAGTCTTTTACTATTAAAGTGATAGTATAAGCTCTTGTTGACCTTGAACTGTGGTCGGTAGACTTCCTCAAGTTGCTTAAAAAGGACTTTGTCTGCTTCCTTACCCTGTCTGAAACAGACTCCTGCCACAATCCACACTTGTTAGCCTCTGCTTTGTTCTCGTTCAGTTCCTGTTAGTTGTGAAGGTATTCTTTGAAAATTGAGTCCAAATGGAAGCAAAGATATATATCTTGGAAAATAAAAACAAACTGGGCAATCAAATTAATTTCCTTTATGATATTTAATTTCTGATGAAATCATACAATCCAGAAGGCTGGATTTGCTGATCTTAGAAGTATTTTCCAACCATAGCAATTATACGATTCTATGAAATATCATAAACCTGTCAGCTCACGGTAACTATTGGTTGTATGGATAGCTATCTGTGGAGAAACAGGTTAAAGAATATTACATAATATTGCTATTTTTCCCTAGATGGATATGGAGAGTTAGGGGGGGGAGGGCAAGGGAGGGAGGAAGAATTCACTTCAAATTTTAATGTCTTTTGTTAAGTATTTCAAATAGCTTTGTGCTTTTTAAAAATTTTGCCATATTTTAGTTCAAAGTAAGCAGTAACTATACAACCATTTTGGCACTAGCAAGTCACTCATCCACTTCTGGTTTTACTTAACCCTTTTTCCTTTAACACCAAAATAATTATAATGATTCTTCAGTGTGTTGACTACTTGTGCAAAATACTATAGTGCAACTAATAGGTCTTACTTAACAGGCCTTCACCAGTATCTATAAGAAGTATTAAGGATTCTTCTATTATAATGAGCTACCAAGACTGAAGAATTTCTTATTTACATGCATAACTGTGTCTTGAAGTGTCAGACTTGAAGGTTAATGCAGATAGTTAGAAACCATCTGTAGTCAGGTTTCGAAAAATATTGTATTGTTCCTGTTTGAAGTTGATTGATATTGATTAATAATTACCAACTCAAGAGCTAGCAGGCAGTAATTAGACACTGTCCTAGTGATAAGTTATCAAACCTGAAAAATAAATAAAAACCCATAAAGCCTTTTACTTTAATTGTCATGATTGTGCTTGGCTTTAGGATGGGGATAAAAACTAAATAGATAGAACCAGCATTTCCCATATTTGGTGATACAGGTCTACTAGTTTGCAGTATTGTTTTGGTTAACTAATTGAATAACCTATGACCTGAAAGCCATCAGGCTTTTTCAGTGGTACACACTCTATAGTGCTCAGTAGTTCAATCAAGATGGGAAACATCCCGATCGCTTGTTAGGGAATTGCTGAATCTGGCAGCACCATAGAAACAAGTCTGCCACAGCTCAGTATTCTCAGATCAAACCAGTAGCAAGGCTGAGAATGTATTCCCAGTAGGTACACAAATACATATATAGTTTACATATACATATAGCCAGCAACACAGAACACAGAAACACTCAGCACTCAAACAGCAACAATGGCCTTATCCTCTTCCCCTCTCTGGCTGATCAGGATGAAGGTTCATTAGTGGGAAATGTATATGCAATGTGGATCCATCCAGTAACTAGATTTAGACACTCAGTCTATCTAGTATCTGGCCCCTGGATCCCCATGTCTCCCTAGTTGCTTGCACCTGGGCATATGAGCCTCCAAGGCTCATAGCCCCACTCCAGTTGCTAGTACAGACCCCCTCTCACATGCACACGCTAGCTGGGTTTAGACACTTGATCTATATAGTAGCTACACTTGATCTGCATAGTAGCTGGCCCCTAGGTCCCCTCAGTCTCCCCATCTGCCCCCCCCCCCCCCCCCCCCCCCCCCCCCAGAAACACAGACATAAATGAGTTTCTTATTCCACTCCCAGACCCCACAGTCTCATTGGCAGTTTTCTTGGACCCTCTGGTCCCTCCAGTAGCCAATTCCTCCAGGTGCCATACCTTTAGAGATGCATGCATACCAGGCTCCAAGCCACAATCTTCTCCAATGTGGGTCCTTCCCATGGGCTGCAGTTCTTCACAAACTTCTCCATCTTGGATCCCCCATGGGGTCACAGGTCCTTCCAGAAAACCTGCTTTTGTGGGGGCTCCTCTCCACAGAGCAACAGGTCCTGCTAGGACCCTATTCCAGTTTCAACTATACAGGCTGTAGCCTCCTTCAGGGCACATTAACTGCTCTGGCATGGGGTCTTCCCCAGGCTGAAGGATGGGCATCTGATCCACCATGGACCTCCATGGGCTGCAGGGGAACAACCTGCATCATCATGGTCTTCACCATGGGCAGCAGGGGAATCTCAGCTCCAGTGCCTGGAGCACCTCCTCCCCCTCCTTCTTCCCTGATCTTGGTGTCTGCAAGGTTGTTTCTTCTTCATACTCTCATTCGTCTCTCTCCAGCTGCTGTTGCACAGACATTTTTTTTATCCTTCCTCAAATAGGTTATCACAGAGGCACTACCAATATTGCTGACTGGCTCAGCTTTTGCCATCATGGAGCTGGCTGAAACTAACTAGCTGTTGGACATGGGGGCAGCTTCTGGTGTCTTCTCAGAAAAAACACCCCTTCATCCCCCCTCCACTACCAAAACCTT